CTAAACTGTATGGTATTGAAAATTCAAAGCTTTATGATACACCAATGGAGATTAATCTTAAACTAAGCCAATCTAATTTAAATCAAAATGTCAAATATAGAAATCTAATAGGAGCACTCTTGTATATTAGTCATGGTACTAGACCAGACATATCTTTCAGCGTAAATTATTTAAGTAGATTTCAAAATTGTTATGATGAGACACATTTCAAATATGCTTTGAGAGTTTTAAAGTATTTGTACTTAACAAAACATCTAAAATTAACCTATAGTAAAAATCTTAAAACTGATATTATGAATTGTTATGTTGATGCTGATTGGGCAGGTGATATTGTTGACAGAAAGTCAACTACTGGGTTTGTTATTGAATTATTTGGTAATCCAATTTACTGGAAATCTAAAAAGCAAAATTGTGTGACAAAATCTTCCACGTTTGCTGAATATATTGCTCTATCTGAGTCTGTGACAGAAATTAATTTCTTGAAAAAATGTTGTGAATGATGTTTTTGCTGATATAACTCACCCCATTAAAATTTATGAAGCTAATTCAGGAGTTTTGGCCATTGCTAATTATGGGAACTTCACTAAAAATTCAAAACACATGGAAATTCAATATCATGTTCACGAAAATGTTCAAAATAGAGTAATTGAAATTGTAAAGATTGATTCAGAATCAAATATTGCAGATATCTTTACTAAGCCTTTAGGAAAGATTAAATGAAATTCAGAGAAGGTTTGAAATGAAATAGATTTTGGTAATGTCCTTATGTTAACTAAATTGTGTTTAACTGTGATTTTAACATTTAAGTTAATGAAAGAAACTTTTTAAAAATAATTTGTGTTAAGTGTTGAATGTTATTGTTTATATCTATGCTTAATTGTAAATGATAAAGATGAAAAGGTTGCTTATATCTATGTTATTTGTAATTAGTAAATATAAATGTAAGGAGGCGTGTTAGTTTGGTACATTTATATTTACCATGTTGGCAACACCAAGTCTCTCAAAGTTCGTCAAAATGTCATGAATAAGTGATATTTTCTTGATTTTAATTAAAAAATGACTCTTTCATTTTGTACCTTGATTCTTTTTCTTCCAATATACATCCAAATTGAAATCAGATACATTAAAAGCTAGCAGAAATTTTCATGATGTAATAATGACAGCCTGCAAAAAATAATCAAGCTGGATCAAATCAGAAAGTTAAGGAACAGCGCTATCAGCTATATTAACCGAAATTCCTTGGAATCTGTAAAGTATAATTTTAGCCTAGCTTAACAGCATTGGCTATGTATTGTGAGATTGTCGATAAAAGACAAGTTGTTCCACTAAATTTTGTTTTGCTTCTATTGTGCTGTGAGGCAATTAAGACTAAATTGTATTATTTTAGTAATTTATTACATTAGCCTCTCTTTCTTTCACATACTTAAGACTTTTCTAAGTCCTGAATAAATAAATTCCTACATAGATATGGATATGGTGCTAGATATCTATCTTACTGCTAATATCATCAGGCTCTAGATATCTTCCTGTCTGATGTAATCTCTGCGGGTCCTAAATTCTGCTACCAAGCATCTCCCTAAGTTCTTAATTTTGAGTCCCAGTGCTTGCCCTAAATTCTAAAAATTTTGTCATCCTCTAATTTTGTTGCTCGTTGCTTCTCTAAATTCCAAAAATTTTGTCTACCCTAAGTTCTGCCGGCCATTGTGGCATATGAGCTCTGGTCCAAGTGTTTGGTTTACGTGAATAACAAATCAGTTATTCTCAAGTCAGATAGCACTAACTGTAATCTTTTGGTCTATGAATATCATTAACAAAATCTATTTTTATCATATGGAAAGAAATTTTTATTAAATTTTTCTTCATCAACATTTCTTAGCACATTTAACTTAAATCTGAAATTATCATCAAGAGTAATGTCAGCATAAAAGGTTACCATGCACTTTGTTATTACATTACTAATGTTTAAAAAAAAATGTTTAGGCATTTTTTTTTAAACATTAGTAATTAGTAATGTTCAAGTTGTAATGTGTTGATAAACATGCAGTGATGAAAGCAAAATATAATAAATAATGATTCGCCAGGTTGGCGTCAGAGGTATAAAATATGTGTCTATGTACAAGAATGTTTTGGTTTGAGATGCATGGGAAGTAGATATGCAGCTACGGAGCCAAATTATTGATCACACTAATTTTATGCTAAAATGATTGTTTCCTCAATAACGAGGTATTTTAATTAGTGCCAAAGTGAAATGTTTGCACATGTTTTATTATGCGTGGAGGAGAGAAATCAAATGCACATACATAAAGTATTTAGACAAACAAATTTAAAAAAAGGGGGGGAGCTGGGTGGTGTCTTTGAGGTCTGGATCTCGGACTTTGTACTTTATAATGATATTATGTAGCAATTTCTTAGCACTATTATGAAATCAGAGTTTGTATGGTCCTTAAGTGTCCTTAGGTTTTTTTGAATTGATTTTTGGTCCTTAAAAGTCCTTAATTTCAATCAAATTTGGCAGGAGGTTCTTAGTTTTAATCATCTGAAATTTTTGTATGTTTTTACAACTGCCAGTTTGAATATGAATTAATATTTTGGACAAATATTTTTAGTAATTTATTGATAAATATATTTATCTTTTGAATTTTTTGGTTTGCATTTTGAAACAAATTACTAACTGGTAGAAAAGATGCATAAGAGAAGGAAATTGATATAAATTAACCAGAAGCATAAATATTTTGTTGAATATTGTTGCTACAAAATGTGAATCTTTTGTAACTTTTAATGTGCTATCTTAATATTGTTTAAGAATCAATATCATTACATTTATTTTAAACTGTGATTATAGACTAATAGATTGGAATTTTAATAGTGATTTTTTAACAAATATTTTTAAAAACAAATTTAGTAGTGGGCATGTAAATCTATAATGACTAAGGATATCTAACTACCTAATTTAATTATTTGTAACTAACTGGTCACCCTTAAAAGTAATTTCTGAATATTAAAGTGAGCACATTAAAGCAATATATATTAAAAATATATATTGCCTTTCATTAATCTCTACCATAGTCACACGATACAGCACAAAAAGTAAAAATTAACGTAAAACTTAATTCTTTACATCTAGTGAGACTTTAAATAATAAAAAACAACTTACCACCTCTAGTGCTTTAGTGGCTGATTAAAGCCTTAAAATATATATTAACTGGGTTACAACTCTACACGAAGTTATGAAACTTAACTACGTCGGATAGGCAGTGCATAACTAACTTTCAAAACTTGCCAACTGTTCCTACATCTGGCTTTCAAGTTTGTTCTGATCAGCAGGCCTCTCTCTAGGCAAGCAGCAGCGGTGGCAACAGCCAGTCTTCTGTAATGAATCACAATTATGATTTTACTTCTCATTTTAACCTATGCCATTTGACATAAAATCTACCTGCTATTTACAAAACTTCAACTGAGCAAGTACATGACAAAATGAGACATAAAAAAAAAAAAAAAAAAAAAAAAAAAAAAAAAAAAAAAAAATGATGAACACAAAGCTAAAAGTAAAACGTAAATAAAATGTCACTAATCTTCTTTCAAATATGTCTAACTATTATAACGGTAAAATATGTAATGCTACCTGATAAATTTCATAACGTTGATTTTATTCTCAAATTTGTTTTATAATTATGTTTATTAAATTATGTTTAATAATAATGCATTCTACTTGTGGATCTATTTTATTCTTAGGATGGTATCACAAAAGTGAAGTTCAGGCATAACTAATATTAGCTTTCCTTGTTAAATTGAATTTATTCAGTTCCCATTTGTTGATGAGTGCTTAATTTTTTTTCATTAATGGTCCTTAAAAGTACTTAAAATGTGTACGAACCCTGGATGCTTTGTTTTAACCATTTGAACTCGTTTTGACCACAATATTGGCAGATATTGCATTAAAATCAGCTATGATCTAGGTAAATCCCATGCAGATGAGGTGGAAATCTATTGATCAATTTTCTTTACTGCAAAAAAGAATACTTCCTCTAAAGAATATAGTTCCCTCATTTTTAGCCACCTTATCTTTAAAAGTTAGTAGTGTTGTTAATGTAAAATTCAAAAATTATGGAAAAGAATTTCAACATTCTTTTTTTCAGGGCTGCAAACCTTTGTGAATCTCAGCATTTATTTCTGCAAATCTGTATGTTACCCCCCCCCCTTGAAAATAAAAATTGCATTAGTCATTTGATGACAGCATCAAGCGATGTTATAAGAACTTTCCCTCCCTTGGTCATATAAATCCTCTCTTTCTACCAAAGAGAGGACTTTCATGAGATCTCTTATGTAATTAGCACTCCTTTTGGACGATGGATGTATTTTGGCAGAAAGCCTGTCAAGGTTGCATTTGAGACAGTTTAACTATACCAATCATTTGGCAAATTTGCATGCTTCTTTCAAGATTTGGATCTGAGCATGTAAGTTACTGCTTTAACTTTATGTTAGTGTAAATCATTTTCTGAAGTTAATATAAAATCATTTTACATTGAAAAGCAGTTTCTTCCTCAGTAAATTCTTCATGTTCACAATCTACTTCATTAATGCCTAAATCATGTCCATTGTTGATAGTTTCACCTAGAACTATAGATTATGTCTGGTCTAAGCTGGACTCAAGAAGTTCTGTTGCACACTGAGATAGAAGTTTTTCATTTAGCTCTCGTATTCCTTGATATCATCTATCATGACTTATATTTTCAGTGCTTTTTTTTACATCAATTATTTTCCTGAGTTTGTTTCATATGAAAATGCTAAAGACCTTGCCATATTAAATTCTTTCCTTGTTAAATTAAAGTAGTTTGCAATAAGAACAGCATCAACTTAAAATTTATGCTAAATGAAACTGTTTTATGTGAGGGATGACTGTAATTAAAAAAGTAAGATCATGAGTATAATTCATTTTACTTGAGCATATGATAGCATTTCACTTTATTAAATGGTTTTCTGTTCTATTGTGTGCATCACAGATTTAGTCCAAGAATTCCAGATTATGTTGATTATGCATCAGTTAACCCTGAATATATGAGCTCTAATCTAGGTGAGTAGATTTTATATTACGTAATACTTGTGTTCTGACTTATTTTCTATATAAATTGAATATGTATGACTTTTTTGTCATAAAATACTTAATTTGTGTTCTAGTGATTACATTAGTTTTGCTGAAAATATAAAATGCATTTTTGCAAATTTAATTTCTCTCTCTCTATATATATGCATTGTTCTGTATACGCTTGAATTAGTAAATAGCTATTAGCCCGTCTCTTTAATTTACCCTCAAATATGATTTATAACTCGCCATTCTAATAACAGGTTAAGCCTTTCATATTCAAAATTACGAGTTTTTGTTCTCTCAGCAAATCCCTCACATAAAACATGCTTGAGCTACATCTGTTTGAAACTTTAATGTTGATAATAATGATAATTCTGGATAGGCAAAAATGTTGGGTAATTGAATGCATAAAATACGCATTTAAATGAATGAAAGAAAAAGTATATAATCTAAAATTATAAAAAGAATCATTATATTTAATAGCAGTTTAAATATAAAACACCTACATATAAACTGTGTGAGATTTTGATAGAGAGAAAAGGGCATTTCAGACATAAACACTGAAGTAAAACATCATATTCGATTTCGAATTTCCAATGACTATGAAATTTGGTGAAGTTTGAAGGAACAGATCAGTTTTATTTACTTATTTATTTAGTTAGATAATCAACACATACATACTATGAATATAACATAAAAAAATTAAATCGCTTGTCATAATATGTTGCATTGCACAGCCAATATTTATCTACTTTCACATAGGTCATAAATTTCTTGATGGCCAGATCCCATAATTTTGAAAATTTTCAAAATGCGATTCAAAAACAGATAAATAGTGGTATACTTACATCATTTTTTATGAAAATTAAACCGACTTATCCTGAAATAATCAGTTTTACATAAAACCGATAATGAACATAAAGGTGAAGAAAGAAAGATCTTATGAATATTGTGATATCGCATTTATCCATTATTAGTGCTAAATGTTTGCTGACAGTTTTCCTTTTATTCGAGTTGTAGTCCTATTGTGCTTTATGCGAGAGTTACAAATCTCTTATTTGCTTATATTTTGTTTTTAAAAATTTTTTTTTATCAAATTTGAAAATATTTTGGGTATTACTTGAGCTTTCCTGTTAGTTGAATGCTGGATAGTTGCCCTTTTACTATATATAGTATATTATATATATATATATATATACTAAAGAATATTGATTACTAGATCTCCAAATCATTAACTACAAAAAAATTTTACTTTTTGACATAACAAGAAACTTCAATTTCAATACTAACAAATTAATAAATTGGAATTCCAACATATCCAAAAAAGTAATTAACAATATACTAATAAATCAAATACAACGAATTAAAAATATCTGCACAGATGCGATAGATCTACAACGCGAAATTTTGCTGCTTATTAAAATTCTCAAAAATAATCTTAATACCCAATCAATTTATTAACCATTGCCTTAAAAGAGCAGGCGTTAAATACTCACTCTAAATCATTTAACTGATAGGGGTATGATAATTTGTTCCTAAACCTGAGAAGGCGGTATAAGTTGGATGACTGTCAGTTGAAGGATTTGTACATAGGGTAATTACTAAGCTGTATATAATGTAAAAAACTAATTGTCTTCAGACTTATGCTGTTACTAAAAAAATGGGCCTATTTCATAATCTTTAGTCCGTCAAATAGCTCTTTGACAGTGAAAATTCCTTTTTTCCTTTTCTTAATTTCTTAATCGTTATGACATGACAATTAGCCAGAAATTAATTAATTTCCATTCACTAGTATTTTCAAAAAATTTTAACAGACGGTTTCACTCAAATAAGAGCTCCACAACATACGTCCCTCAAGAATTCCCAGTCCCTCCCACTACCAAAAATTACTTCACACAAGTCTCACTGACTGATATAATTCAAAGCCCCCGCTACCGATAAGAATTTCTGAAACACAACCCTTCTGAGTCAGACGCGAAGAGAACACTTTGCCCACTCCCCACTAGAAAGAACGTAAGTTAATTAATGCTTTTTCTGGCCTTTATATCTTCATGTACATTCCCTTTTCTTATTATATATTTTTTTTAAAAATATTATTTTTTATTTTTTGATTTGTTTTTGCAAAGATTGCATTTTTTTTCTTATATTTTGTAGTTTTCTAATGTTTATTTCAATTACTTTGAATTCTATTTCATAATGACAATTTCCAATGTTTAATTTTTACAAATAGTTTTGAATTAAAATGTATGGACCCGAGGGTGTTGGGCGACAATTACTCGAGCGATATCAATTTTACTGCAGAAATTGCTTTTCACTCAAAACTGAATTAGCTAAGATGCTTAATCGAAATGAGTTCTTTGGTTCTCTGCATTGTTTCTTAATCCCTTCTATTCACGGAAATGTTTGGCCTAGCTTGAATTGCCGGTTTGGCATCGCCTTATTACTCGAGTACAGGACGAAACACCTTCGTATTTATTTCTTGATTATTGTTCATTGAATGGGAGTTGGTTTGTTCCCCTTGAAAAGTCAACTAATTTCGAATCAATGGCAATGATTACTTGCATTTAATTTAATTACTTGCTTTTAATTTATTTCTTTATACAATTGAAATTTTGTTATTCATGATTTAATTCAAGTCCCCGTTAAACATTTTTAACAATTTATATTCAAGTTAATTTAAAACATTTTTCGAAATTGAACTTACTAAGTATGGATTCACTCTTTTAAGATAATTCTACTAAAATTAATCTTAGGAGATAATATAATCAATATTCTTTAGTAAATAAATTATTATTAACTAACTTTGCAGCAATTGCGCAAGTAGTAGAATAACTTGATTTTGCACTAGTGAATTTAAGATCATACAACATTGCATATAGAGAGAGAGGGATATTTCTGAAAGATTACATGTGAATACTTCTACTTTATATAAAATGAGAACTAGTGTTAAGATTCTAAAGGTTTTCAGTGTTAAGCTTCACTAATATACAGCAAAGCATAGTTGATCACAAGCTGTGCCCTTCATTAAATGCCTTAAAATTTGAAATATTCTTGATTCTGAATATTTCAGTTTAGGAAATACTGTGTAAATTTGCAAATAAGTAACAACCAAAGAACATGAAGGAAAAGAAGGCAAGCTTTTGTAGACACAATGTAAACCAGTTTGAACACCTTAAGCAATCAATCCAATCCAGTATCCAGTATGCAGTAAAGCAAATATGCCTGGTGCAGATGAAATTAATTTGTGAATAATTAATCCTGCTGTAATTCTGTTGAAGTACGAAGTGTAAATCTTCTATTTGAGAATTAGTTTTAGCTGTTGTTTATTTCTTGAAATTTTTGTTTTGCAATATACTTTACATTGGAATTTCTGGTTTAATAGAAACTTTTTGTTTTCATAATTATTCATTTTTTACTTAAATATTTCATAAATGGTACTATTATTTTAATATATCTAATCTAATTACTATGTTACATTATTACTGAAAAAATACAAAATAGCAATGAGATTATAGGCTCAGTGTCCAAAGTACTGACTGCATCATTGAGTGCTTGGATTTGGGGAAATGGCAAAGAATTGAATTTTTACCTTTGGGCTAGCAGAGCATCTGGTTGAAAAATTAAAGTAAGGCACAGGTTTAAATATTATTTTGGAATATATTCATTTCTTCAAAGATTAGGAATCAAATGAGTGTGCCTATTAGTATTTCAACATTTCTTAGCTGTTGTGAGTTGTTACTTATAGAAATGTTAATTGGAATAATTGATTTCAAAGATGTTTTTCGAGTTCCTTTATATCACGAAAAAATTAGATTAAATTTTTATCAGTTTAGTGCTGTTAATTTATTTCAGAATAGGATTTATTTAAGATAGGAGTAAATTTGGAATTTTTTTCTGCTAGAAGATGTTTTTCCGTCTTTATCAGAAGTAGAGGTTTTATAATTATCCATTTTGTGACTAGCGTTATTATTATTGTGAATACTGATGGTTTGGGGGAGTTGGTTTTTATAAAATTTGGTTTTTGGAAATTTTAGGTAGTCATTGGTTCCTAAAGCTTGGCAGAGAATCTGCACTGCTTAAGAAAGTTTGCTATTTAGATACAACCAAATATTTCTGATTTCTTTAACAGCCTGAATTGTAATTAAAAAAAAATATGTTCCTACGAGAAAAGTTTCCATTAAAAAAAAAATCATTCAGTTGTTCATTATATGCAGTTTTCAATTATGTTTCCCATTAGTGAATGCTCATTATAATTCTGCAATATTATACAATTTTGCAATTTTATGGTAAAGCTTTGACATTTCAATATAAGCCAAGAATTAATCTTTTTAAATTGTTCAATGCAGAACTCTGACAGCTTTTCAGCTGATATTATTGGAGCCCATCAAGTGGTTCAGCACTAAAGTTGCTAAACACTGATAGTCTGACCTAGATTCAATTCCATTTGAATAGGCTGCTATTTGGTTGTTTTTGTGATATTCTCCATGTGTAACATGTATATGAACCAGTTTCTCCTAGAAATTCCTCTACGAAGGCATCCTTCCCTTTGATCAGATTGCCCTCGTATGCTTTGTTGTAATCAAGCAAACCAAACCAAACTAATATGGTTGACAGTTCTGGTGTGCATGCATAAGTTAATTTCAAGACCTATCTTTATGCCACTTTCAATATGATTTTTCTCTGTGGCATTGCTATGTCATTAGAGTCTTCTGTAACAACTCATTTAATTTTCTCATTGGAAGCACAGCTGGGTCACTATTAAGCAAATCAAACATGTGCTTAAATCATTAAAGAAGCAAAAGGTATGCAAATATGTCTTTATGGACTCAGGAGAGGGGGCATCACAAAAATTTTCTTGCTAGTTTTACTCTGGAATGTCTCATGCAGCTAAACCAAGACTGAGAGAGAAGAGAAAAGCAGTTATAAATGTGGTGTAGGGGCACCAAAATCTTTTAGTGCTTTAACCTTCCAACATGCGCGCTTAGCAA